TCTTCAATATTCATCTGTTTGCTTGCCAAATATGAAACCATTGAGTACAGCAAGTGGGACACAAGCGCTTAAAACTGAATTCATTTTTATTTAAATTTATTTTTAATAATTTTTTACTACATATTCGATTAGCTAACTGCCTTTAAATTTGTCAAATTTATCCGCAGCGTTTCCGTACAGTTTTCCACTCAGTAAAAACAATTTTGAATTTCCATATTGTACGCACAGATATATTTCACAGATTTAAAAAGGATTTATCAAGGAAAACCACACTACCGTATGTCAAGTTATTAAGTTTATTGGCGATGGAAGGGCTTACCGTAACGGCGTAAGAAGTCGTCACCGGCCTCGAGGAGTACGTTCTGCGAGTTGTAAATCCACTTTCGTAAACCATTTTTGCGATTTTTTAAGCGATGCCTTTTTGTGGAATTAGAATTTGAATTTGAATTGTTCGTTGGATTTGGTTCGGCTTTGTCGTCGTTGCGTGTTGTTCACTTGACGCCCGTTCGAGTTGATCTGCCCGAGAATCGTCCGGAGCACTTGCTTATAATTTTTTGATTTTCAAAATTTTCACACAGCCTTCACTCACTCTCTCTCACTCTCTCTTGACGGCACCTCTTTTTCTGACCATCTCCCAAATAAACTTATTTTTGGAATTAAGAAACATTGACATCTCTCGGCGAAAAAAAGAGCGAGCAATTTCTGTTTACATAAAGCCAGAACTTTTCATACGTCAGTATGTATGTTTGTGTTGGGGGAAAGGCCTATATACATATGTAGATCGATCTTTGATCACGGAATAAAGTAGCCCTTTTAGAAAGTGATTCATTTCAGGTATTTGTTTTCCAGCATTTTCTATTTTCGCAACTTGGGATACACTTGTTTGTATTTTGTTTGCTTGGTAAAAAGTGGTTTCCGGACAGATAGGCCTTTTATTTACTTATTAATACTTAATAAAATAGAAATATCAAAGACATTATAAATACAAAGTAAAATCATTTTAGATGATCAGTGATTAACATTTACACAAGCCCTTTGGTTTCGTTTTTCGCTCTCATAAAAATGATGTATTAATTTGCAAATTTTTGGCAACACTTTTGAATACCTTGAATAATTATGGTACATTTTAAAAGTGCCTACATATTCAATTATAAATACAGACCCTTTTTCATTTTGTTGTAGGTATCAGAATACCAAAATATGTACATAGATATATTCCAATTCTTGGCAACATTTTTGCCAAGAATGAGAAATATTTTTCCCCAGTTGAAAATTCAATAATAAACAAAAACATAAATATGGTTCAACAATTTATTGTAAACATTAAAAATGCTAAAAATAGTTTTGTGGGCTACCCGAGCCTCACAGGGTATTTTAGGAGTGATAAAAAAGGGGTTTCACATCATTTAAGACGTCATCATTAGCAACTAAACTTTTGTTTAATAAACATTCAAGCTAACTTCAATATATTCTGCAGATTTTGGCACTAAAAAATAAATAAATAAGATTAAAATCCTGGCCAGCAATTTATGCCAGTGAGTATCACCTGTGAAGCGGACCGGACACAGTGCTCTTCCCACAGATATATAATATATCTGGAAAATAATAATTAAACAAAATAAGATAAAAATAAATGCTGTTTTCCAACAGATTTGAGGCCAGAGATTACTCATACGCTTACAAAAAGGCGACTAGGCTCACATGTATTTGTTGGCATATAAATAAACTGCACATCATCGCATAGCCACATATTAAATCGCCTGTGTAGGTGTCTGGCTCTTGTACATAAACAAACAAAAACAAAAAAAAATTATAGAAACCATGGCAGAAAGTCAGAAAAGCAAATTCTTTATGACATTAACCTTAACGAGAGGCAATGAATGACTCGTAATTTCAAGGCTGCCAAAATCACACTAATCGGAGAACAAATATGCCATTGAGTGCTGTCTTCGAATTTTAATCATTTCTCTCTGTCAATTAAGAATAAACACACTTATTTTAAAATTTCATCAAGTATTTATCTTGGAAGAATAGGTGTTATGGAATTTACTACAAATCTAACGTAATTTTCTTACTAATTTAGGTTTTTAAAAATGCTGTATTTATTATCTAAAATTAACTAACATCTTCAAAGGTATTTCAAGTAATGATTAAACTTCACAGTGTATTCTTTTCATAAACATGAAAGAACTTTGCAAATCTGAAAGTTAACTTTTACAAATTAAGTCTTCAGAACAAGTTCTTGAAAATGTCAACAACACTAAGGTCTTAAAAATCAATCAGAAATATTAAAATAGGACAAAACAAAAAAAAAAAACATGTAGAGTGTCAGATTGCGTTGAAAATTAATGAAAGAAGAAAACAATTATGTATATGTTTATAAGGATTGAATAGATTGGTAAGTTTTCTCAATAGATATGGGATATATCTTAAGCAGATATTCTTGAGACTTTTATAACAACAATACAAAGCTTTTATATTTAAGTACATAAATATATATCCAATATGTAGCTCTTGAACCGGATCATTAAATTTATTACCTGTTTTCTATTTATCATTACCGTATGTAAATATATGTCTTCGAATATTTGATTTATTGCCAAAATGATTTGCATTTTTAAATGGCGTCGAAATGTAGAATATATATCATCTATAATTTGCAATTAAAAAAATATTTAATTACAGTATAAATGAATATACCTAAATATATGTAAGAAATGCAATTCAAATAAATTGGTACAGTCAAGAATAAGGCCAAATTAAATATATTTTGAGTAAATTTATCTTTATTAAGAATACATTTTTATACAAAAAGATTTGTTTAAAAAATAAAATTGATTCTTAAGTAATATTTGTTTGTAATGAATTTTTGAAGGTCAAGGCAAGATTGCATTTACAATTAGTATAAAAGCATTATTTGTCAAGTTTTCTTTCACGTTTTAGGGACTATCAATTAAAAATGTATGTTTATTCCACATATACATAGATCTGTGATCCTAATAAATAAGCTAAAATAAGCTAAAGATTTTATCAAACGTCTTTGGTTTTGGAAAAATGAAAACTCATATATATTCGGCTTCTTTTTACCAAAAAAGGAGCTACGAAAAGTCAGTGACTTAATACCAGAAATCTTTTGCTCGAGTGCCCCTTATAATGATGCAAGTCTCGCAGGTGCAAACACTTCCATGTGTCTCCGCGTTTGAGTCGCGATTTCAATACAAATATATAGTACATACATATATTTATATAGGTATATATTTTCCACTGCATGGCTGCTCAATTTTTCCGCCCACAAAGCGTGGTTTTTCGGCATTTCGTGGCTGCGATAATTTCGTTAAATAATTGAGTATGCAATGAAAATTGCGCATTACAGCGACATAAATACAATGATGCTTCTGCTCCGCGGCGGGCACATATAGTAAGTGCCTATATGGTTACAAACACCTGCTCAGTCGTCGTGGTAGAATGGGTTTCTTTCCTCACTTTTCCCAAATACCCAGCATAAACGGCATTCAAATCTGCACGTTGGCTTGACATTTTGTAATTTGAACAAATTGCTTGAATTTTTGTCGGTTAACTCCTATAAATAGTGGAGTTTGTGCCATTTGAAATATTAGTTTGACGCTGGAAACGCGACGGTAAACAAGATCGAGGACTACAGAAAAACCCTTCAAAAACCAAAGGATACTACCAACAATCAGGATGAATATAAATTACCTTGTCATATTGCAATTTCTGGGAGTTATGGTGCTGCTGACCTACGCCAATGCCATTCCCAAATACGAAGAGAGCCATAAGTAGGAAAAACTTGTCCATCCAAAAATAATACTTACTTGGCGGATCTTTTCAGGTTCTATGCGGACAAAGGGCAGCGAGATCGGTCGTCGTACTATAACGAAAACAAGACACAGCCCAGTGAACCGCAGACAGCTTCAACCAAAGATAGACTGGAACGACTGGGATACACCACCGGCTATGGATCTTTAAATGTGGGTGTATGGTTCTGAAATATATCGTAATAATTTACAAAATGTAATCTATGCCCAGGGCTATCCCGGCGGAACTGGCCTCTCCGCTTATAATCCCATTAAACTCGACCTTGGCGGCGTGGTCCTGGGCACTCTGGTGGGCATAGGAGCCATCATACTAATACCCAAAATTCTGTCGGCCTTCCATGGTGGCTATGGCGGATATGGTCGAAGTAGGTGGTGTTTTTCCAGCTAGTCAAGCAGAATTTATTTTGTACTTGAATATTCATAGGTGAGGATAATGACCTGACACCCCTAAGCAGCATGATAAACAAGATCGATGATGTCCTGGGCCAGAACAACATAGACTCAACGAGTTGCATGCAGCGAGCAGTCTGCGGTTATGTTCGCTCCACGGAGTATAATATGAAGATTGGTTCCTCCGATCAGATGGATGAGTTCATTCATATGCTATCGGAGTAAGTAAAGTAATTATATTGTAAAGATTATAAATTATATATTATGATTATTTCCAGAAATGCCCTCGTGGATTACCTGCTAGATGGAACGGCCATTAAGGAGGCATTGGAGCATGGCAAGCGAGCCAATGACAGACCTTGTGAGGATGTTTACTCCAACTGTCCTTTGGATAGTAAATCGGCCACGGAAATTCTGATGAAACTTATGCCAAAGAAAAACGCCCAAGGCAAGGGAAAGTCTTCTGGCATTCCCCGAGAAAAGAAGGCATAGAAAATGCCAATTTGTTACAAGTTAAATACCCTTACAACCAAATATTATTCAACATTTAAATAAACTCAAGTGTGTTACCTTTATTAAACTGTGTTTCTTAGCATCGCTTGAGCTATTAAAATGCGTGATTTAATGCGTGAAATAACGATTTTCAAGGCCTAAGGCCATTAACCTTGCTATTCATCTGACTTTGAAATTAAAATAAATCACTAAGAGCCCCTACTTATTTCTCTAGATCAGCAAGACCTTGCTCTCTGAAGTAGGTATTTTCCTTGAAATAGCTTAATTTTCCTTTTCGAAAGCCTCGTAACTCGCCTCATTGGTGGTCAACATAATTTGTAATTGCTTTTCCTGCTGCTCAATCAGTGGCAACCATTGCTCCGCGGGAGATGTAAAGCTAGACGGCATAAAATTTGACATTTTTCCAAGATTATCCAGCACCGACTTGCGATGCACTCGGTTCTCCAGCATTATCTGCTCCAGCTTATCCACCAGGTTGTTGGACTCCTTGATCAGATCATCGATGGACTGCAGCAGGGCATACCAGTCTATCTTCTGGGCACCAATTAGTGTTTTACCTCTCAGCCGGAAGGGAAACGGGACAAAGCTGCGCCACGGCTTGTATGGCTCGATAATGTAGGGTATAAAGTGTCGATCCGATTCCATTTCCACCGCATCGTCATCAAAGTGCCAGGAGGCCAGTGTGGGAGCCAGGTTAGTATTGTTTTTTATTTTCGGCGGCTGCTGAGGGTCTGATTCGTTGAGGTTTAGTTTCCGTATCTTGGCAATCTGATCGCCCAGCCGTTTTTCCACATCGGAAATAATGGCATTGCCATCTTCATCGGATGTCAGATACGAGTTGATCAGTTCCTTGTTGTATGCCTTGGGCAGCAGAGTCTGGGTTTGACGCGAAGTCGTAGGCACAGTGTCGGTCATTTGGGACATGGAATAGGTAAGGACATCTACAAGTAAATACTTTAGTTTAAATTAAGAGAATAATCTCTAACAAAGCTCACACTTTTCGCCATCCTTCTTTTTTGATAGTTGCCCATCGGTGAGAATGCCTATGTCCCTGTGCAGGATTAGATCTTTTTGCACTCCAAAACTCGCCTCCTTCATAAGCTTTGTAGGGACAAAGTCCGTTTGCAGGGCCACATTGGCCTTGCCAGCTCTTAGCCGCCTTTATCAAGTAAAAGATATTATTTTACGCCTTCAGAGTAAGACAGAAATATAACCTTGAAGCATCCAGTAGCTTGGCCCGAAGCAGGGCACTTTTATCCGGCTTGGTGAGCGTCGAAACGCTAACCGCTCGCCATGGCGGACGCTTAGCCTCATTATCCTTTTCCTTTTCCTTGTCGGCAGCCAGATCTTTCATGCGTTTCCAACTGTTTTTGGCTCTAAATTAAAAAATACAACTTTTCTTTAATATCTTAAGTGTATTTAAAAATAATATGCGAACACTTACCTACTCAATGATGCACTGCCTACACGAACGTTCGCCTGCGAAGCGCTCTGCTGGTCATCCGCACTTTGCGTCTCGCTGGTTTCCGAGGATGTGCCGCTGTTGTTGGAGCTGGTGCTTTGCTTAAGCCTGTTCATGGTACCGATTTCTTCTTTTTTTACCCTTTAAAACTTTAAATGTGTGTGGGTGGAAAAACTTTGCGAACGTCTCTATCAGCAGTCAATACATCGATGCATAAACAATTTAGTGCAGCCGCGTTGCTATGGAGTCGATTGTTTCTTTGGGGAATGAGGAGCAGTGATATCGACGTACGGATAACAAGGAATGGCAAGGCGAAAGGTAATTCATAGATTTACAACCTGTACTAGTCAACAGAGTTGAACTTCTAGCGGTTTTATGTTAATTCCAAGTTCTTATATTTATAATTTAAAATGCAAACAAAAACTACCTTGTAAATAATTACGTTTATATTTTAACAATTGTTATAAAAGGCATTCAGTATACGGAAGACATCTCCATTATAATTCTCCAAATGAGTTCTTCCCGCCTCGTATTTGCATTCGGTAAATAGATCATAGGTCTGCCTGTGGAACCAGTAGTTCCTCGTAGAACTATCAGCGCCAACATCCAGTGTATTTAGCTGCAGGACTCCAAAGTGAAACGTCTGTCCGTCGGTCTGGACACTCTGCACAACAATGGGCTTGGGCAAAGCCCCCTGCACTGACTGACCGTGCAATTGCCTGGCTCGTGCCGCCGCCACAACGAATGCCTTAACCAAAGTCCTTGCTTGCAGCTGAGACGTTGTGACCTCCGACCCGTGAGCATTGCCAACTAGCTGCTTGTTGAAGACCGTGAATATCGTGTGGGGATGCGAGCAGTTGACATCCGTCCTCAGGGCTGTAAGATATAATGCTTTAATTTGAAAGCATAATATAAAGTAATTTTCACAACTCACGGTAGAAATTGTCTGTCAGATAAATATGGTTTTTCGGTATCGAGATGGTGCTCTTCATGGGGTAAAGATCGGGCAGGTTTCCTTTAAATTTTCCCTTGATGCCCTCAATGCCACGATTGGCGAATATGACTTTTTCGGCATTCACAGAAAAGCCAAGCAAGTCTCCATCTTTGGTCAGGGAGGTCTTAAAGGAGGCATTATCTATAAGCTTGCGTTTAACGGAAACTGAACGACCGGCCAGTTTTTCCACCTCTTGCAGGAGTTTGTTTACCAGAAGGCGACTGAAATGAAATTAAGCATTACTTACACCGCCAAAAAACTACTTGGAGACTTCTCTTACTTGACTCTATCGTGGGAAATTCCGTAGGGGCGTGGAAGGTTAAAATTCGGTCGCTCCGGCAACCGCACCTTGGGCAGCTTCACTTGCTCCGCATCGAGCACGTGGGCAGCTGCAACAGCATGCCTTACATTCTTGTCAATGGAATTGGGCAGCTGCTGGCTGGCCAGGGCATCCTCAATCTGCTTGGGAAACGTCTGGATCTCGATGGCGTTGGTGAGCACCTGGGCCTGCGGCAATCCGCCTACCAAGACACTGCTATCCGAGTAAGAATGGCACACGGTGGAGTGCCAGTTGGGGTGACTGCTGTCCTCGGGTATCGCTTGCTGGCGGTCGCCCACTACCTCCACCCTGTGGATGATATGTTATTTACCAATTAAGCTAATTGTTAGCCTGTTATACTCACCTCCTCCTTTCCTTCCTGGGATTTAGAATGTCCTCGGGACTCTTCACAGCCACTGCCAGTTTCAGGAGCTCAGCGGCAGCGCCCGTCTCCTTGGGCACCCGTTTGCCCTGGACCAGCCAGTGCTTCTTGAAGTGCCAGCCAATGTGCTGGGCACACAACGTGTTGGTCAGCCGCATTTCAGTTAGGATTTAGCTAATGTTTTCGTTCGAAGAAATGGGTGGCCGGCTGACTGGTTATGAAATGTCCAATAGAGATGTGAGATATGCGACGATATTAATCGTTTGGAACCACCATCTCTATGATCCGAAATCCGGGCACACTTTGTTATGTTTACATGTATCGATAGATTCTGTAAACGATATTTTTCCCGCGCTGCGTTTTTTAAATGCTTGCAAATTAAATGATTAATAATCCTAATGGATTGCAATGTCGTTTTATATTTAAGAATTTCACAACATTTAAAGTTGAATAAATTAATTTTTGAAAGCAAAATACCGATACATATTGCTGTTTTTGCCAAAGGCGACAGCCCTATCAAACAGGTGGCAGCCCCAAATAGCAACGGTCACAAACAGTGGCAGCCCCACCAAACTGACTACTCGACAAGCGGCAACCCTGACAAACCGTCAGCGAATTTGGTGGATGGTGGGCGAAAACACGAAGAAAAAAAAATAAAAGTTGTTTCTGGCGAACAAAACCAATTGGAATGCCAGTGTTTCAGTGACTGTGAAAAGTATGCGGGATAAATCCAGTTGAAAACCGTAAATCAATAGTGCCCCGTTTATGGCTCGGGAAATTCGCTGCATTTAAGCCTGGATGATTAGGCAGAAGAACAGGTTTTAGGCCGTGGCAACAACGAAAGAGAAAAAAACTTGGGACTGGCTTATACCATTTACGCCATTAGCTGAGGTCGCCGTCGATTGTTTTGTGTGTGTGTATGGGCTTGCGGGCGTTTTGTTTTGTTGTCTGTTCAATATTTGGCTATATTTCCCAAATCCAATTAACAATTAACGGCTGAACGGGGAAAAAGTGCAACAATTTCTGGCTAATTGAATTTTACGTGTATTTTATTTTGGTTTTAGACCAGCGCAACAACAACAGCGAGCAGCGAGTAGAAGAGAGAGCGAAGAGAGTGTTTCTTCTTTTTTGTTTTTTTTTTTCTTGGCTTAAACCAAAGCTCAGGTAGTCAGAATACACACACGCACACACAGAGACGGAGAGAGAGAGACGTATCTATACAAATGGCTAGCACGCAAAGCTAAAACAATAATTATCCAATTAAACGGTTGTCAAAGAATGCATTTAATTTCATTGGTCAATGGGTGAGCGAGAGAGGGAGGCAAAAAGTGGTAATGAGAGCGAGCAACTAACAGTAATTTTCACGGGCATCCAATACAAGTGACTGTGTGTGAGTCTGTAGCTCTCTGTGTGTGTGTGTGTGAAGTGCTAATAAGATGCTGTGACGCTCTTCTTCTTATTTGTTGCTTTTGCCATTTATGCAAAGAAACGCAAAAAACAACACAAAAAAGCAAGCGTAAAAATGCTAACAAAAGTTGAACAAAAGATTTCGCGCAAAAGGTGAAAGCCACTCACGTTGCTCCCGCCGTATACGCAATGCCGTGCAGTTTCTTTGTGCGCCGCGCGAGACCGTTAATGCAATCATCATCGCCCGCTCATAAACGTTCCGTTCTCCATTCTGCATTCTCCGTTCCCAGCTCTCCGTGAGACGATGCAGACTGCCAGAGCCAGTTCCTCGCAGAAACGCCACGAATAAGAAGCCACAAACCATGTGATGCAGCAGCGGAGGTCGAGAGGTCGGAACACGCAGCCTACAAGTAGCTAGGTCAACCACACACAACCCCCGCACCACACACAGGCACGCAGATCCCCGGACGCGGAACGATAATCCACGCGACAGCCGCCAGATGAGCTGGCTGCCGGGGCTCCTGGGGCTGCAGCTCCTGCTGCAGTTCCTGTGGCTCCTGCGGCTGCCCGGCGAGCTGCAGGCCATTCCCACGCCTCTTAAGTTGCCAGGTGAGTTTAATGTGGATTACCATTGGAAAGCATTTACATACTATGGGGGAGGGACACTTGCAAGAATTCCTGTGGATCCGAAATTAACTAAAAATTAAACAATGCATCCTAATGGATTTTACTTAACACTTAGATTTCACCTAATTTTCCTTATTTCTGTAGTACTTTAATTTTTTTTAAATTAATTTATTCAGATTGAATGAAATTTCGTATCTTTTTAGGCATTAATTTAAAGTTTTTATTACATTTTTAAATTTATTGAATAACTATAAATGTGTTAAATTGTTGACACAAAACGTAGACGTACATATTTCTTTTCTATTAAATATAGCCAATAAATTTGTTTTATTTTTCTTAAAAATAATTCCTATTGTTCTAAAAAAAAACGAAAATATTATTTTATAGAAAGTATGTATATCTTATCGTTACCTTTTAAAACAAGTATTATTTGGCATACTTAAGCAGACAAATATATGACTTAATATTAGCATTCAGTAGATTTCTCCACTAAAACGTGTTTCGTACAAATATTATATCAATATATTAAGGTAAATTTCTTTAAATATTAACTATCAAACGAGAAAGAAAAGAATTAGTTGAATCACAAGTGTATTTTGGAATTATAAAGGTTTGATGTTATATGTTCAAGGTCTTTTTAATTACCTTGATTACTTTTTAAAGAAAAGTATTCCTTTCAATTCAAACAAAAGCATTAAATTAATCATTGATATTTAACACAAAGGTTTAAAACCTCTCGATAAGTAAAAATGGTAAATTTAATAAGAATGACCTTAAATTCGTTTATTAAATTCCATTTAAAGAAGCTTACATTTCCATTTAAGGCAGCTTTAATTTATTAAATGTTCACAATTGATTTTCATTTTAAGCTTTTAAGATTTATTACAATTCTCACCCTTCTGTTGGCTCTCTTCATAATCCACTAACAAACTCCTCCCTTTGTTTTCAGGCTACACCCACAGGTTGACTCCCTACATCAAGCACTGGGAGGCGGCGAACTTCGATCGCGGTGTACTGCAGGCAGCCCAAGTCAGGCACCTCGAGCAGGCTCGCTTCCGGCAGAAGCGACATGTGGAGGAGGAGGCCAGCACCACGCCAAGTGGCCTGGCGCACACCATTCGCTTAAATTTCTCCGCCCACGACAGGTGAGTGCACTTAAAAGCGATGCAAAATCATTTAATCACCAACTGCTTGCTGCCTCCCGCAGAGATTTTCGTCTGGTGCTGCGTCAACAGCCGCATTCGGTGTTCGCCCACGACGTGGAGATCGAGAATACTCTGGGTCCCATCGACTACGATGTATCGCGCATCTACACGGGCAGTCTGGAGGATGACGAGGCGGCCCATGTACAGGCCATCCTGACCAGTGACAACCTGCTGGATGGAACGATAGAGACGCAAGCGGAGCACTATTACATAGAGCCGGCGCAACGCTACTCCCAGCAGCTGGCCGAGAGCGGTGTCCACAGCATAGTCTATAAGTTAAGTGATGTAAATATGCAGAAGGAACAGTTTACGGGAGGAGGACTCAACTCTGCGGCGCCCGTCAAGACGCACTGTGCCAGCGAGAAGCTGAGAAAGAAACGCTGGCTGCCAGAGGAGGTGAGATTTTATTGAATTCCAGACCAGAGACTCTACTATATATATTTTGTAATATTCCTACAGCTGGCCATGTCGGATGCTCCTGCGCCCACATATAATCGCAATCCGCCCCTGCCGCTTGATCTGGAGGTGCCCTACAACGACGACTTTCGTGTGCTGGCCTCCGAGGAGGACAAGAGCGACGAGTCACCCAGGAAGTACCCAACCACATCCACGACCAGGAGCACAGTGCGCAGCACGGAGAGCTTCCTGGCCACGCTGACGAAACCAACGTCGAATCGCAACATACTTGTAAATAACTACAATCCCTCCAATGTCGGCGAGGGCAGTCGCAGCTACAGTAACAGCAACAGTAATAGTAATAATAACAATAATAATAACAATAGCGGAAACAATCTCCGGAAGTTGTACACGAAGCACAAGAACATCATTGTGAGCACGTACAATCGACCCATTGAACCGGAATTCGGTACGCCCTACGAAGAACCCAGCAACAATGGCAGCCGGGGCGACCTGCCCAGCAACTTCTTCAATGCCAACTGGACGACGCTGTTTCTGGGTAACCAGAACAATGGCAATGACCGGCCTAGCCACAAGACGCACGTGGAGATTATTACCAAGAATGGAGCCACCAAGAAGCCAAATATAATTGTGAACAACTACAATCCAGAGATTATATTCGCTCCCAATCCACACAATCCAAGCTTCAACAGCATGCTGATGACGAATCTCCTAAGCGGCCGGGGCGAGGATATCCATAGTTCCCCGCGTCTGCTCTACGATCGCAAGACCACCTGCATGCTGTACCTGCAGGCGGATCACACCTTCTTCCAGAAAATGGGCTCGGATGAGGCCTCCATTGAGGCCATAACGCGGCATGTGCAGCGAGCCAATACAATATACCGAAATACCGATTTCAACAATGATGGCAAGCCGGATAACATTACATTCATGATCAAGCGTATCAAGGTGCACAACATGAATGCGATGAAGGATCCCAGCTATAGATTTCCAGGAAACTATGGCGTTGAAAAGTTTCTGGAACTATTTTCAGGTAAGATCTGGCAGTAATCACAGTCAGTTTCAGTTGTGGAATCTTTGATTGAATGATTTGTTAGCTTTGTTTTCATTAAGTATTATTATCGTCATCAATGTCAGAGGTGTCAGATCCATTAATTTATTGCCAACACTTCAAGGTTAATGACTTTGTTTATTTAAGAAGTGTGCAAAAATGATGACACCTTAATTATAAGATGGCCATCGACCCGTAAATATATTATTTATTTCGGTTTCTAACCAATGACACGATTATTTTATTATTTATATTATTATTATTTTTTTTTTTTCTTTGCAGAGGAAGACTACGATGCCTTTTGCTTGGCCTACATGTTCACCTATCGGGATTTCGAAATGGGAACCTTGGGTTTGGCCTGGACAGGGGATCTAAAAAACGCAGGTGGAGTGTGCGAAAAGAATGGTCACTATAGAGGTTCCCTCAAGTCTCTGAACACGGGCATTGTGACTCTTTTAAATTATGGAAAGCATGTGCCGCCCGCCGTGTCCCATGTGACTTTGGCCCACGAAATCGGCCACAACTTTGGCTCTCCGGTAAGGTCCATCCTAAATATTTCTCAAATACACAATAATTCGTAATTTATTTCCCACAAATAGCATGATCCGGAGCAGTGTACGCCTGGTGGCGAGGACGGCAACTTTATCATGTTTGCTCGCGCCACATCGGGCGACAAGAAGAACAACAACAAGTTCAGCACTTGCTCTTTGAAATCGATAGAGCCTGTGCTGAATGCCAAGGCACGTTCCATGAAAGGTTGCTTTACGGAGCCGCAGTCCTCGATTTGCGGCAACGGCGTGGTGGAGCCGGGCGAGCAGTGCGACTGCGGCTGGGAGGAGGATTGCAAGGACTCGTGCTGCTTCCCCATGTCGCGTCAGCCGCGCATCGATGAGACTCCCTGTACCCTGACACCACACGCCCGCTGTAGTCCCTCGCAAGGACCCTGCTGCACCACCGACTGCAAGCTGAAGTTTGGCGATAAGTGTCGCGATGACAACGGCTGTCGGGATCCATCGTTCTGCGACGGGCGTGTGCCACAGTGTCCGCCATCGGTGAACAAGCCGAACAAGACCATCTGCAACAAGGAGTTTGTGTGCTACATGGGCGACTGCACTGGTAGCATTTGCCTGGCCTATGGCCTTGAATCGTGTCAGTGCATTCCGGGGCCCCAGGACGATAGGATCAAGTCCTGTGAGCTGTGCTGTAAGCTACCCGGCGAGGATAATCCCTGCCGCAGTTCCTTTGAATGGAATGAGGCGCCCTTCGATGTGCCCGATATGTACTCGAAGCCGGGAACGCCCTGCAACGATTATAATGGGTGAGAATATCTAAAGAGCTTTAATTGTATTATTATTATAATAATAATGTTATTTTTCAGATACTGTGACGTCTTTCAGAAGTGCCGAGAGGTGGATCCCTCTGGTCCTTTGGCCACTTTGCGTAAGCTCTTGCTTTCGGAGGAGAGCATTGCCACATTCAAGAAGTGGATGCAGCACAACTGGTACACTGTGGCTCTGGCTGCCATTGGTGTTATCCTGCTCCTGGTAAGTGAACCAACTATATAACATTGTACATAACTTAACTTATTGTTTGGTTTTGAAAAAAAAAGTTAATGAAACTGATAACGCAAATGTTAAGGGATCAGGTCGAGGCCAAAGCGCAAGCTGAGGCTGAGACCTTGGGTGAGCGCACTTCGATTTCCAGTGCCCAGTAAAATCCTGTAAAATTAATTGAGAAATCACTCATTTAGCAGTTAATTATAAGGCTAATTTAGGTAAAATTCTTAAGGCTAGAAGTCACTTGAACATTTATCATAGTTTTAATTGAATATCCTTATATTATGTAGTGTTTCAAAGTATATATTTATAGTTTTAAATGATAAATACTGTTCTTAACACAATTTATGGGCTAAAACTACCCTCTTCTGTATCTAATTTAACATGTAAACTAATCTAAATCTTATTTTCCACAGGCGCTGAGCACAAAACTGCTGGCGAAACGCTCGAATCTGAAGCTTAAATCCGTCACCATTATACACAGTGCCACCACGGAGACAGTCCGACTGCCGGAGAACAACAACGGAGTGATAGTACACACCGCCGTGCGGACAAAGGTTCCATTTAAGAAGAAAGTGCGTGGCGAGCGAAGCAAGAAACCAGGACCGACGACAACGGGGGCGGTGGCAGGAGCAGCTGGTGTAACTGGAGCCGCTGGTGTGACATCCCGAGGAGCTGCCAAAAACATTGCCACTGCAGAGCCCAAGAAGACGACTCGACCCCAGGCTATGAACAAGAAGAAATCCCTCGAAGAAGATCCCAAGAAATTGAACAAAAAGCTGGGCAAACACATGAAGGAGATTATTGACTACTCGCACCGCAACAACAATGGTGCGGATGATGCCTCCAATCTGTCGACTACCAACAACCACACCAACACCTTTGGCAAGGTGCAGAAATGGCTGCTGGAATCGCCCATTGTGGCGCAACCTTTGTCCCACATCGAGCACAGTTCTAGGGTTCGCAAGGTGATGAGCAAATCGCAATCCACTCCCGAGAGGCTGGTGCAGAAGACACCACAGAAGACAAAGTCCATGGGTAATCTGTCCAACGAGAAGGTCAAGCTGCAGGTGGTGTACAAGCCGCCCTTTAAGTTCTCCCTGCGGCTGTCCAAGAAGCCCAAGGTAAAGACCCATGTAGTGGGTGCTGGGGCTCGACCAAAGCGAGGACAAAAGACCAGTGGTGGCCGGGCTGCTGGACCATCATCCTCGGGTTCAAAGGAAGCCACAACGCGCGCCAAAAGGAGTGCATTGCTGCTCTGCAACGAGGCTGAGGACGACAACCAAATCCTCACCCTCAACGAGCCCAATTACGAGACCTTAAAGCCGCCAACGCCACCCCGTTCAATGGAGCACTGCTACGAGAACGTGGATATGCAGGTCGAGGCCTCATCTTCGAAGCCCAGCAGCAGCAGCAAAGTGGCTCCTAGCTCGCAGAATAGAGCGAGCCTCCTGGACGGAGCTCCACAGCCGGCGCCTGCGCCTGTTCAAAGGAGCTCCTATCGCAGATCCAACTCGCTGTCCAACCACAATCCCTTTGCGGCAGCTCCTCGTCGTAGCAGCAGCAAGGCCAGCGGATCAGTTAATCTGACTCGTAACTTTGGCAGCACACAGAATCTGATAAATCTCAGTCAGAATCTGGCCAAAACCAAAAAGCGCAGCAGCCTGAACCTCAAGGCCAGCAGTGGAGGAAACAGTGGAGCAGCTAGGGGTCCTAAAGATCCGCCAACAATGGCAGTTGCCTCGCCCCAGAGGCGTTCCTCCTCCAATGCGAATCTACGCCGGGATAGCAGTGTCTCCTCTTCAAAAGCTGTGCCTATTCCCCCGACCAGAAACTCCCGGAACAGCTTCAGCAACATTCCCAGGGCAAGCCTAGGAGGAGGTGGTAATGGTAACTCCAATGCCACTTCAGGGCCTCCGCCCAGTTTCTCTCGCCAATCTTCCAGCAGCACAGCAACCAGCAGCTCTTCTATTGCTCCACCCGGAGCAGCCTTGCAACAATCCGCCTCCACAAGCGCCATGCAGCGCCAGCCACCCACGCAGCCCACGAGGAGAAGCCTCCACAACTTTCGGTCGCGTTCCACTGCAACTGGTCCGCCGCCGCCGCAAGTTGCTGGGAAGCCAGGTACAGCAGCTGGAGCAACTGCTGCCACATCAACGGAGAACAACGAGCTGCCCTCCGATCTAGAGGTGGTCGTCTCCGATGTGGAGAATCTGGTTAGCTAAGGGCAGCCGGTCCGGGTCCGGTTCCCATTCCGATTCCGATACCAGTTCCCCAAGCCAACCAAGTGAAAGTGATAAGTCTTAATGTTAGTTATACAAATTGTCGCATAGGTTTACTTGCATACATATATATATATTTGTACAGACATTGCATTATATATATGTGTACTTTACACTGCCTTAAACTTGCCGTTTCTGCTGAATATGTGAATACCACGCCCACTCACCCGACACTCGGACACACAGACACGAAACTGAACCGCATTCCACGCATATTGCCACGCCCATATAAATCCCCCGACCAAGGCTGCAGCACAGCAGCGCCCACGGAACCAATTCACCCAAGCGCCCAACCCGCCCACTGAACGCCACCGCAATCCCAACCGCCAGCCGCACTCACCGCACTTTGTACCTTTCAAACTGTTTACTGTTGTACTGAGTATTGTGTAAATTTCCTTTTGGCTAAAAGTATCTTGTTACCAGCTGCAAATTTCGTGAGTTTTCGCAAGTTGTATTTAGTTTGGAAAGCAAATTTTAGTTACAATTCGATTTAGAGTTCTTGAATTCTTCGAATTTAGTGGAATCTTTCTAATATTTCCTTTTCTCTGACACCAAAAGTCAATGTATTAGAGTTAAAAAGACATATTGAAGCAAGATTGATAAATTAGTATGTCTTATTTTATTTTATTTAAAATTTGCAGTTGGTAACATGCATCCATATATATTAAGTTAAACCATTTCGATGTGTGTTTTTCTGAGCAATGAATGAGCTTTACTTTACGCCATCAATATAAACCTTTCTCATTTTTATAAACACTCTATTGAAATGGATAACCCTATTCACACTTGGCATCCTAATTTCAATTAATTTTAGAACAGTATTACTGAAAATGTTATGTACCTACTACTATCATCGATCAATTTATACATTAGTTTGGCCTGCTCTTTACCTACAAGTTTCAAACAACGATCACTACGATTCATCTGAACTTAGACGACACACAGATCAATACAAGGTGCTATTTTTAGTAACGAACTAAAACGTAAAATATTAGCCGAGAACATTTCGAAAAATCCTTTGCATATTTTCTCAAGATCAAAACTAAGATTAGGAACGCATATAGGAAGAATGAGGTTGGAGTAGCCTATAGATAAGATGTGGAGCCGGGGAAGTTGCAAATAAGTGTACGGAATAGATTCAGAGATAACCAACGATAACTGTCAATAAATCAAAAGCGTCATGCATCGAAAGTAGGTTTTAGAGAATGCCACATAGAACTCCCAATCACCCCACCTGTTGACCACGCCTCCCATAGGTCCCATAGAGCGAGCAGGGGCATCCCTGCTGGCCAATGCAATTCCGTAGCTGTAGTGTAAATATGATATCGACAGGACATAGTTTTTATATGCAATACCGAGATATAGAGCAATGAGAACAAACCTACGATATTGATAACGCGCCTAGGATATACATATATAGAGTCACATTCCGTATCGAATCACAGAGCAAGCGGCTTTCGAGTAACACACACACTAATCCACAACACCCCCAGCAGCAGCAATAACGATCCGTAGGATAAGTTAACAAACAATTGATATTTGTAGCTATATGAATGTGTAGGAAATCAAAGGCGTATCATAATTATATATACATACGAGCATTTGGGTATATTTTTGTGGAATATACATATTGATAAGAGATCCATAACATATATGTATAGTAAGCTCAGCTCAAGAAACCGACGAACGAACCCTAAAGATCGAAAACGAGACAGAAAAGACAGTTAACGCGTAGGCCAGTAAAGAAACAGAAACGGAATAGTTACGAGTACGCGACAATCGCTTTGAAATGCTTAAAAGAAATAATGATAAACCCGAAGAAATTAAAGTTTAGTTTCTAGTTATTTAATTATGAAATTATACAAGGCAGAGAGTCAAAGGAAAATGGCAAATGCCTTATAATAACAAGATGAGTAACGCAAGTGTATGAGCCTTATGCATCTTCTTATTATAAGGTCTTTGGTAAGGGCAGAGAGACAGGCAGGAAAGTGAGTTGAAACTTACCAAAAACAAAACAAAAAAATATAATAAAAATAAAAATGATAAAATGACAAAGGATATAATAAATGCCAATGTTTGTGTACTGTATATAATTAAATGCAAATGATTATTGTCTAAGCAGATGGATGCGAGTATTTTGAGCGTGACAAAAAGACTATTTAGCGCGAAATGAACAATTTTTGTGTAATGTGTACATAAAAGAAACCGATTGATTTTAATCTAAATATATATACATAATTATAAATGTAATTGTAAAACTGCAAACGATTTTTAAATCTGTATGTGTATTGTGTACCTCAATTGTAATTATTTTTTTTACGTACTTTTCACAAGATGGATTAACGCTATTTTTATAATTTAGCTAAATGAATTATATATGAACACGATCCCTAGTTAATGGCCAGTTTTAAATGTCCCTCACCCAGCCGAGAGCCCCCCCCCCACATAAAATACAACATGTGTAATTTTGTCAATTAAGAAAGCGTAAATGTCTTTAAACGAAAACGAAATGAAACGAACAAAAACAAAAACCGAAGAGCAAAGAAGTGAATATTAGCATTTTACGATTCATATTATTATTAAACGATAATTCAAAACAATAATTAATTAATTAACGTATGTATTATGATTAGCGAACAAGACAAGCACATGTGTGACACTTCAGTTGTACTTTCTGTTACGATTACTACAATATTTTATTTATTAATCTTATCGTTAGGCATTAACACGAATGTATCTAATTTTTAACCAGAACACACACACATGCGATACTTTATAATTTCCTCATTTTAAGCAAAATTCAATTAACAATAAAAACGAAACTAATACTTAAGGACGTTTTGACTTTTGTTATAAGTTACTTATAAACCTAATTGGCTTTCCGTTCAGCCTTCTCCAGCTTCAGGGCTCTCTTGGCCATGATCCAAAAGTACAGACTAGGACAGAGATGCCGCAGGTAATAGGCAATCTTGGCCTGAACATCGCTCACTATAATATCCGGTTCCTTGCGGAGAATACACTGAAGAATGCGCTCTGCCAGTTTATCGGGAGACATGCCCTTGGCAGTGGTTTCATCCATTTCTTTAAGGGAAATTTGAATGGTTAATTAAAAAGGCTCTCAGAGTATTTCTTTTATATTTACGCACTTCCATAACTGCTGCCCGATCCCGTCAAGGCATTCAGCGAGAGCTGCGTGCGTATGTAGCCAGGACTCACGCAGGACACGTTGATATTCTGGCTGGCCACCTCGGCACGCAGGGAATCGGCAAAGGCCTGCATGGCATGCTTCGAGGCCGAGTAAGCGGCTCTCTGGGGAATGGCAAACTTTCCCTGAACGGAGCTTATGAAGCAGATGTGGCCACTGCCACGTTTCACCATGGAAGGAAGGAGAGCTGGGGAGTACAAAGAATTAAATATAACTCAAAATAAAAGCTATTGCTTACCCTTAGTCAAAGCCACACTGCCAAAATAGTTGACCACCATCACCTTGAGGTCCACATCCACAGCTGTGGAAGCCACATCCGCTCGCACACTAATACCGCCATTGTTTATGAGTATGTCCACCTGATTGTACACGGCCAGCACCCGGGTGACAAACTCTGGAATGGAATTCAGCTCAGCCAGGTCAAGAGCCAGCACAGTGGGTGGATAAGCAGGGTCCTAAGAGAGGAGATGGTTTTGAAATTGAATTCAAAATTAATTTAGTATATGCTTTACCACATCCAGTGCCAACAGATCCTTCTTAACCCGCTCCAATTCCTGAGTGCGGCGTGCCGCCAATATTACCTTACAGCCAGCACGGTAGAAGACATGAGCTAGAGATTCACCCAATCCTGAACTGGCGCCGGTGATGACCACCACCTGTAAATGGGTTTACATAATTAATTGGTTTCCATCACTGATTAAAGTTCAATCTGAAGTTACCTTTCCTGGCAATTGATTGCGATATTTGTGGGCGCGGAATCGCTGCCAGATATTGAAAAGGGCCAGCGGCAGGACCACCGGCATCAGGATGGTGCCCAGCACCCAGTAGAGAACATTCCAGTCGCTGCTGGGAGCACATTTTTCCAGCTCTTGAACTTTCATTTTCACGAAGCGAGCAGGAACTTTGAACTCTTTCCGCGAATACAAAATGATTAGTGAAGGAAAAACAAATCGGAAGTGACATTCACACGGAATAAAGTACAGTGATCTTTGGAACTAATGAACATAAACTTTTAGATAACAATTATAATTGCATACACTTTAATAATAAATCTTAGGATATGTTATAAAGAACATAATAATATCCATAAATCAAAAAACCGGTAAAACATAAAAATAATTACTATTATTATACCTGTATCTCCATATTTCCTTCTCCTTATCCAGTATATACTGTACTGCACAGCTGTGTGGCCGCTTCTCTGTGAATGACAATCTCAATCAGCTGTTGATTGTTACGTTATTTGCGGCCAAGTTTAGTGTTTAATTAAAAACCCTCGAAAGAAAACTAAACAAATGCCGAGATGAACAACCTCCTGAGGCAAGGACAACGCCTGGCCTGCTGGCTACCGGCTGCTGCCCAGCAACAAATCCACACCACTGCCGTGCAACGGACCTTCTGGGAGCGTGAAAAGAAATCCGGCTACAAGACCAAGCTGCCGGAGCCCTCAAAGAAGCAGCTCATTATGGACGGATTGAAGGATCTCAAGGAGGAGATCAAGCTGTGGCGCAAGGAGGTCAAGGAGCAGTTTGAAAGTGACCCGATATTGGTGTTTCGGCCGGGTGAAACGGATGTTGTCTTTGACTTCAAGGCGCCCAATGTTCTGGACAACTGGACGGTAACTACGGATGCGGATCACGGCGAGGGCAAGAGCACTGCATCGCTCGAGTTAAGTTCAGCGGGAGCGGGTCTCTTCCACGGCGAAGTGAACTCGGATCACACCAAGGATGGCATCATCAAGAGGACGGGCTATGCAAATATTCGTACAAAGAGAGTGCGGGTGCGTTGACTTGAGATTAGAGTGTTTCCCTTTATGAACTTGTATCTGTTTTGTAGAAATCCTTTAAGCGAGAATCTACCTACGACTGGACGCAGTACAACATGCTGATAATGAAGGTGCGAGGCGATGGACGCAGCTACCTGATTAACCTGCACACCGAGGGCTACTTCGACCTGATGTGGAACGACATTTACCACTATGTGTTGTACACGCGTGGGGGTCCCCATTGGCAGATAGCGAAAATACCCTTCTCCAAGTTCTTTATGTCCTCCAAAGGACGCGTCCAGGATCGCCAGAGCGCTATTCCTTTGAATAGGGTGACACACTTTGGTTTCTCGGTGGCTGCCAAAAAGGGCATGGATGGACCATTTGGCTTGGAAATAGACTATGTGGGACTGCAGTACGATCCTAGTCATCGCGAGGAGTTCGCCTATGAGATGTACCAGACGCCCAAGTACATTGTGGCTACGTAGCGTTACGTAGTGCCTTACGTTGCGGCGGCAGTGTTATTTAATTGTTAGAGAATGTGAGAATAACAGTAAAGATTGGTTTTACAAAGACATTTTTTCTTTTTGATGCAATTTTACAGTGGAACTTTTGGTAAATGTTAAAATCCTTAATAAGGGGTACAAAGTTTCTTATTTTCTTATGAAATCCATTTTAAGGAATGCCTTTAAAAAGAATGCCTAAGTAACACTTTTAATTAGCAGTGAAAGTAATATAATTATTCGTTCCATAACTCTTTTTATATAGTTTAACTTTAAAATATATAGAGTTGGCCAAGTTTCCCATAGCCATTGCTCACTGTATTTAACAGCTGGTTGGCTTAGTTCTCTCTTTTTTAGTTAGCTCTCTCTCTCTCTCCTCCCACTATCCCTCTCTCTGTCTTAGCGAGCCTTTCTCTTGAAAATCAGCTGTTAAAATGTTTACATTCACTTCGGACAAGCCTTCAGGGTCACTTTTGCGTTGAAATTGCACATTTTATACCTTTTCCAGAGGTATTTTCGCCTCTCCACGTCTGCCAATTAGCACTCGGCTTTCTGTGGAACTCGGCTTGTGCGCCTTCAGCTCTCAGTCTGCTCCGCAACTTCGACCGATAAAAGACGCCGGAAAAACTTCCGTCGCGGGAGAAAGATACAGAGCTAGCTGTTAGGTGCTTCATTACCATTATCAGGCATTAGATAAAATCATGGTGAGTGTGTTTCCAAGTTATGAAAACCAAAATAAACACTGCCAACAAGACACAACCGGCGTAAATACATGAAAAGAATCAAGAAAGCAACGTAACGTGACCATGTGGCAGTTCAGTCAACCGACCTTGGGGCTCACGTTTTCGCCCGTTTTAAATCCTGGCTATAAACCACAACAAACTAAAATCAATACCTGGTCTACGTCTACTATAATTATTTACGCACCTTACCGGTTTGCTGGGTCCGCTTAATTTATGCTTGAAAAACATAAAACAAAAATAAGATAATTTAAAAGAAACAAAACCAGTCGGTCGGCGGCGGTGGCCATCGAATCGAAAGTGTTCGGTTGCAAGAAACCAGTTCTAGTACCATTCCTGATACCGCGACAACTCCGGCTCCACCTTTTTGCCTGTTGATTGAGTTGCGCTTCAGTTTTACCTCCATTGCTGACGTGTTTAGTCCACTGCGAAAATGGTGCAATATACGGTATGATGGAGCAAGGCCTAAAACTAGCCCAAATCGGAATTGGCACAGCATAAAATAATATATTCAATTTGCAAAGATTTCCTAATTGTTGGATTTTAAATATAGATCAATTTTAGATTATCTTGGTTTCTCTATAAGAGAAACATGCCATAGAATTCTTATAATAATAATAAAATAATATAATTATACTAGTATCTTATAGATACTCATAAGAAAGCTAGCTAAAAACTTCTTTAGTTATTTATAAATCCATAAAGTATTCAAGATTTTTTCCCATGCTTTAGTCTGTAATCTTTTATAATATTTAATATTTCCCCTTTTAACTTGCTCTAATCTCACTAATCCCATTATCTCTTACAGGAGGAAACGTATCTGTACGATCCCAGTCTGCTGATAAAGCTTGACTTTCATCGAAGCCCCGCCAAGTTCAAGCCCTTCATATCGGCTGCTAATCCAGGCGAACCATGGATGAAGGTGCGCCCCTTAAAGGATACGGACTATGACCGTGGATTCCTGCAGCTGCTCTCCCAACTCACGCATGTGGGCAATGTCAATCGCACACAGTTTTTAAGTAATTTCATAATCCTGCTTACATCTAAGCACTTTATTTTAATCATTATGTTTTTCCAGCCCGCTTCTCTCAGATGAAAGCCAGCGGGGACTACTTTGTCACCGTCATCGAGGATACGCGCAAGAACGAGATTATTGGAGCTGCATCCTTGGTGATCGAGCGCAAGTTCATACACAATTGTTCGGTGGTAAGTTAAGATATAAATATATTTCCCAAAATATGTATAACTAAGAGAGCATAAATTCCCTAGCGTGGACGCCTGGAGGATGTGGTGGTCAATGACACCTATCGCGGCAAGCAACTGGGCAAGCTGTAAGCTCTATATATTTTTAAATATCCGAGAAAAAATCTTAATTCATAATATTAACCAGGATCGTGGTCACCGTTTCACTGCTGGCCGAGGAACTGGGCTGCTACAAGATGTCCCTAGACTGCAAGGACAAGCTGATCAAGTTCTACGAATCGCTGGGCTATGTGCTCATCCCGGGCAACTCCAACTCCATGACGATTCGCTACGATGAGGGACCAACCCTTAAGCGCAATGCCACCTCAGCTGGCACCAGCAACAGTGGAACAGTGGGCGACTCCTGCCAAACTGTGAGCCTCGATTTTGCCTCTTGACAATTAGCCGCCAACGCTGCTCCAAAGTCCAAGCTTTGAGTGGGTCCCAAGCCCAACTCAAAGTTACAAATGCGCGAAGCGCAATGCAGGACACGAGAAAATTGGATAACAAAAATAATGAAAACTACTTTGCATAGCCAAAATACCATTGCGCTGAGGGCAAAAATGGATTTTTTGGATAGCGCTGGCCGGCGGTGGTGTCCTTGCAGGGCAACTCCAATACGCCTGCAAGGACATACAATTAGTTATTTAGTTAAAAGGCAACCGCAACCCATGTTGCTCTTTCTCTGTTTTTTTTATAATCCTTACAGAACACTCAATTTTATAACTTTTTCTCCCCTTTCTGCTACTGATTGATTGTGCGGCCTCAAAACTCTCAACTCAAAGGTAGTTGTAATTTTACCTTTCAAAAGCACCTTCATCAAGTAGCCTTAACTTTGATAAATAAATAACACATAAATAAATAAATAAACGGATGAAGATTTTTATCTGGGAAGAAATTTAAAATTTGTTAAGCTCCTTTTTTCAACAGACAACTTTTATTAAACATTATTATTTTTACAAAAATTAAGTTATGAAAATCTATTGATTTTGTAAATACTAAAACATTTAAATAACTAGAGTGTGTTAGTGAAAAAACTAGAATTTTTATAAATCTAAATATCTGTAAAGTACTGTATTTCAAAAATAGTAAGCGTATAAACATAGTGTATAACTGACGTTGCATTTCCGGGTTGCATTCCGGTGATCAGTATTTGCATCGAAAAATTTATAGTTCTTTAGGATTTCTGTTTAGGTACTCATAGAGCTATGTACAGGTAACTCAATTGGGATGCAGGAGCTGAGGAAACTCAGCCTCCTCCGCGTCTCATGAGTACGCGCACAGGTGTCCGCACTTGGGGCACTTCGAGTGCTTGGCAAAGTACTTTTGCAGATGCTCGATGTGACCGCCATGGGAGCAGCCCTGGCACCAGGCGTACACCCCACGGACAATCAGACCGCACACACAGCACTTGGCCGACTGCATGGACTTGCACTTGTCGCAATACCAACCCACCTTGCCGCCCATGGGGCGTCCGCATTCGCCGCAGTTGGTGTGCATTGCCGTGGAGTGCTGGTTGAGCTGCTGCACGGAGCGCAGCCAGGAGCGATTGATCACCTCGCAGGCCTCGTTCCACAACTCATAACGATGCAGCTGGTCCACATAGGTGTGGAACCAGTGTTCCTTAAGGAAAGAAATCAAAGTTATTAATGAGACTGATTTCTTTTCAATTTTATTTACTCACCACCAATGTATCCTCAATGGGCAGGAGTTTGCGAGCTTCTCCCAAGGATATGAGCACTGTCAAAGCCGTTTGAACATCGCCCACATCGTTCATCAGCATCAGGGCATCGGTCACAAACTTGTGTGGCTCCCACATGGGAATAGGTGGGACATGGCTGACCTTCAGCACAGTGGGAACATGGGGTGGCTAAAAATCATCAAAAAATCATCAATTATTATTAATTACTAAACAAAATGTAGTCAAAACTTACAGGAGACTTCTCATGATCAGAGGCCTTGAGATCCAGTTGGGGTCGCGCTGCCTGGACATCGTGATGGAGGGCTGGAAATGCCAATGCCTTGGCACTTTCCGTGGGTCCCACATAGATGAAACCATTGCGCAACAGCTCAAAGTTGTCGAACGTTATCTCGCTGATGATTTGCGTCTCGGAGAGAATCACAGAACTAGTTGGTGGATGCTCCACACCGCTGTCGCCCAGCGCATCATCGTCCACATTTGCCACAGCAGTTTCGTGTGCCGTCTCCGGCGTGTTTCCATTGAGATCCTGGCCAAGATCATTGCGCTGCTGCGGCCTATCGCTAGCCACTTGAGTGGCGCGCCGGGAGTTCATGGGATTCTTTTGGTTCGAGAAGGAGGAGCGGTGCTCGAAGGGCGGCTCAAAGTGATTGCTGCCGTAGAAGAGCTTGATAAAGTTCCACAATGTGGTGGCCTGTGGGGTAACTTTGAGTTAGCATTCTAAAGATTTTTCTAATAGTTTAAAGAACTCACATTATGCTTGCCATATTTCTTGGCTACCTCGGCATTGTGCTCGCAGAGCTCGGACAGGTTCCTGCCGCTGATAATCAGTTCCCTGGCGCAGCCTATGAAGCTCTCGTGTTCCTGCGTGGGTCGCGATTCGGACTCACTCAGGGGATAGCCAGAAATCTGAGGGAAATAGAGAGTTAATTTACAAAGAGTTTTAGCAGAATCTAACAGTAAAAATCCCACCGTATCGTTGAGCATGAATTTGTACATCTTGGAATGGTCCAAATGGAACTGAATACTTCCTGCCACATTTGCTTTCCGACGACTTCTAATTTATAATAAAATATTAAGTAAAATATAATATAAAATATTTGTCAGAACTTACATAAAGCTAGTGGTTTTGGTATTGGAGGCGCCACTGGCCTTGGGAGCATACTCCTTGATCTTGTTGGCAAAGGAGATGTCTCCGAATCTCCCCTGACTGGCTCCCTGGGCATTCGCCTTTAAAGCTGGCCTCGTGGCATCCTTGAAGGCATGCTTGTAGATGGTGGAATCCTTGCTGGTTGAGAGCAGGCAGTGCGAGTCGCTACCCTGCCACGCAATGCCAGTGGTCACGTTGGTGTGCTCGTTGAAGGAAGCAAAGGGTATGTAGGGTCTTCGGATGTCCCACACGTGGACGCTATAATCCACCACTAAGGCGCAGCTGGCAATGTGATAGCTACAGAGGATTGAGAACAGGATTCCAGCTTTACTGCAGTGCGAAATATGGATGTACGGTAGTAAACATACGTTCTCTCTGGTCGCCACTTCACCCGTCCCACCACTGCAATCGTGTGGATGGTGTGTTCCAGTCCCGGTCGCCCGTCCATGTTCCACACCTTGATCTGTTTGTCCCGACTGCCAGTGGCCAGCCAGTTTCTCGTGGGATGCCAATCGCAGGTGTAAACGGGCCCGTAGTGCGCCGTAAACTGCACCATGCACTTGTCCCACTTGCGCATGTCCCACAGTTGGACGGTTCCGTTCTCAGAGACGGCGGAAAATATGTTCTGCGTGTGCGGGCTGAACTTGACGTCGCGCACGGATTCCGAATTGCTGAAGTAGGTATTCACGGACTTGTCCGACCGAATATCAAAGCACTTAATGGTGCCGTCCTGCGAGCCGGAGATTAGGATGTTGGGCTCGCTACTGTGAAAGGTCACGGTGTGCGCGGTGCGTTCGTGTTCGTTGTAGACGAGCAGCTGCTTCTGCCTGCCAAACTTGGACAGATCCCACACGGAAACCACGCCATTCGTGGCAGCTGTGGCCAGTAGATTGCTATCCAGAGTGGACCAGGCCACGTCGTTGGACGAGTAGCTAAGATTCTGGTTCTTGCCGCCGCGCATATTGCACGATTCTGTGAAGCCATGATTGCTGATGGAGTAGACCTTGAGTACTGTTTGGAAGGAGATATGGGATTACTTATGATCAGTTTGAATTCTCCATTCTTACAGCTCCTTCCGGCCACCGCTATCTGTGTATTATCCTTGTTCAGCGCCAAGGCATTCGCATGTCCCTCCAGGCAGATGCGCAGCGAGATGGTGGAGGTGTCCTCCAGGGAGTCGGGCATCCTGCCAGCAGTTGCAATTATTCCCCAAGGAGAGCAAACACAGTGCCAAAACCGCGATTTGATAAGGATACGCTGTAATGTTGTTTTTCTTTCTGTTCAGTATGACCGTTACTGCGCGGCACCGTAATGCAAAAGACGTTCTGGAAAAGACTCGGTTTAAGCGATTTTCGGGCGATTTCAAAGAGAAAATGTTATAATTTATATTTTTTTTTTTATTTAGGGGACAAACATTTTTAAATTCACTTCAATATTGTATAAATTAAATGAGCGATATTTTCATTTAAAAATAATTTAAACAATTAAAATCAAAGTATTAAAAAAAATATATTTTTATATATCTTAAAATATATATTTTATAAATATTCTACATTTGATTTACAGTCCCTCTTTACGACAGTATAAAAACAATTAATAGTAATAATTAATAATATTTAATGAGATTTTCAGAACTCCCCAGTGGCAATGCTGCCACACTGCTACAATCTACCGGGCACAAGCAGTGTGGCAACGCCACTCCTTCGCCCTTGCTGTTTACAAAAATCACTGTTGCGATTTTTTCGGCAATTTCATCTTTCAGCGCAACAAGTTGAACCTGCAACTAGGAAACTGGAGCCGCTCTCGTCATGCCGGACATCAAGATAACGCCGCTGGGCGCCGGCCAGGATGTGGGCCGCAGCTGCCTGCTGCTCTCGATGGGCGGCAAGAACATAATGCTCGACTGCGGCATGCATATGGGCTACAATGACGAGCGCCGATTTCCAGACTTCTCGTACATTGTGCCAGAGGGTCCAATAACCAGCCATATCGACTGTGTGATCATCTCCCACTTCCACCTGGGTAAGTCTTTGGTCTCTTGGGGCGGTGCTCCTTATCTGGTGAACCGGCGACGGGGTCTAATCGCTTCTTTATCAATTGCCTGCATTCAGATCATTGCGGCGCCTTGCCCTACATGTCGGAGATTGTGGGCTACACAGGGCCCATCTACATGACGCACCCGACCAAGGCCATAGCTCCGATCCTGCTGGAAGACATGCGAAAAGTGGCCGTGGAGCGAAAGGGCGAGTCGAACTTTTTCACCACACAGATGATCAAGGACTGCATGAAGAAGGTGATACCGGTGACGCTCCACCAGAGCATGATGGTCGACACGGATCTAGAGATCAAGGCATACTATGCGGGCCACGTTCTCGGTGCCGCCATGTTCTGGATAAAGGTTGGCTCGCAAAGCGTCGTCTATACGGGCGACTACAACATGACGCCGGACAGGCATCTTGGGGCCGCCTGGATCGACAAATGTCGACCGGACCTGCTGATCTCTGAGAGCACCTACGCTACGACCATTAGGGATTCGAAGCGTTGTCGGGAACGTGACTTTCTCAAGAAGGTTCACGAGTGCGTGGCGAAGGGCGGCAAGGTGTTGATTCCCGTCTTCGCCTTAGGCCGCGCCCAAGAGCTGTGCATCCTACTAGAGACCTACTGGGAGCGCATGAACCTTAAGTATCCCATCTACTTTGCTCTGGGTCTCACGGAGAAGGCCAACACCTATTACAAAATGTTCATCACCTGGACAAACCAGAAGATCCGCAAAACCTTTGTCCACCGCAACATGTTCGATTTCAAGCACATCAAACCCTTTGACAAGGCCTACATCGACAATCCTGGTGCCATGGTGGTATTCGCCACTCCCGGCATGCTGCACGCCGGCCTGTCCCTGCAGATCTTCAAGAAATGGGCGCCGAACGAGAACAACATGGTGATTATGCCCGGCTATTGTGTCCAAGGCACCGTCGGCAACAAGATCCTGGGCGGCGCCAAAAAGGTGGAGTTCGAAAACCGCCAAGTGGTGGAAGTCAAAATGGCTGTGGAGTACATGAGCTTCTCGGCGCATGCCGATGCCAAAGGTAGCATTATCCAATCCTTTGCTTTCCCTAAAATAACGAAATATCTCCTACTGCTTTTCAGGCATAATGCAGCTAATCCAGAACTGTGAGCCCAAAAACGTAATGCTAGTCCACGGCGAAGCTGAGAAAATGAAATTCCTGCGCTCCAAGATCAAGGACGAGTTCAATTTGGAAACATATATGCCGGCCAATGGCGAGACCTGTGTAATATCCACGCCCGTTAAAATACCCGTAGATGCCTCTGTCTCCCTGCTGAAAGCCGAGGCCCGCAGCTACAACGCCCAGCCGCCGGATCCCAAGCGACGGCGGCTTATCCATGGCGTCCTAGTGATGAAGGACAATCGAATAATGCTGCAGAACCTGACCGATGCCCTCAAGGAGATCGGCATCAATAGACATGTAATGCGATTCACGTCCAAGGTCAAGATGGACGATCCTGGGCCTATGGTCCGTACCAGCGAGCGGCTAAGGACTCTCCTCGAGGAGAAGTTGGCCGGCTGGACGGTTACGATGCAGGAAAACGGCTCCATTGCCATAGAGTCTGTGGAGGTGAAAATAGAGGAAGACGAGAAGGATCCCAAACAGAAGACCATTTTCATATCCTGGACCAACCAGGACGAGGATATCGGAGCCTATATACTGAATGTCCTGCAGAATATGTGCTAGGTTTTTGGGCCAGCGAAGACGCCACCCAATGAAATCCCAAACCCAAGCCTTAATTCCATAGATAAGCACAAAGTGTAGACATAAACTTTCTGAAATTTGATTGTGGGTCAAAATATACGTAAATATTCCAATAAGATTCGTGATTTCCTGTTATTTTTGTTTGGTTTTTTAAGCTTAAGAGGTTATATTTTCGAGTTATTAATGGGATAGTCCCTTGATGGGCCTCATTTAGCCCCGCGATTAGAGCAAGTTTACACAATTTTGGGAGAAACACCGCGCACTCTGGGTTATTTTCGAGCAAAATTCCTCCACAAATTGAAAAGTCCAACAGCTAAGGTTTATTTTCGTTCGTTCCACGCTATTTATTCTTGGAGTTATTCTGAAAGTGTAACTTTAATAGGGTTCCAGGCGTCGCTCCGGTGCCTGGCACCTTATATATGCATTCATGTATCGTTGGAGCCGTTCGAACTGCTATCTCGGGGAGCACACACCGCTTATGTGAGGGCGGCGGCACCAGAGATGATTTCAATCAGCTCGCGAGTGATGACAGCCTGTCGGGTGCGGTTGAAGGTGAGGGTCAGCTTGTCAATCATCTCACCGGCGTTCTTCGAGGCGTTGTCCATGGCCGTCATGCGGGAGGACTGCTCGGAGCAGGCGCCCTCCTTCATGCAGTAGAAGATGAGCGAGGCCAGCGAGAACTCCAGGTAGCTCTTGACAACATCGCTATCGAGCGAGTCGTACACGGCCAGCTTCTCGGACTTCTCAACGGTGGAGCCGCTGTAGATTGGCAGTGAAGTGCACTGGTAGGACACCACGGACTTGAAGCGATTGTAGTAGATCTTGCCCTCGGTGTAGTCGTACCCGGTCTGGAGCACCTCGTGCGCGATCTTAGAGGCGTCGAGGAAAGTGGGTGGCAGACGGCCGACCTCATTGGCCACCATCAGGATGTTCTTGCCGTACAGACGAGCAAGGATCGAGCGCGACTTGTCGCCAACGCAGAACACCTTGGTGTTCTCCTCATCCTGGGCCAGCTCGCCGCGGATCTGGCGAGCCACACCAGTGTGCACAGCGCCGCACAGACCACGATCGGAAGTCACCGCGATGAGCAGCTTCTTGGGCTCGGCCTTCTCGTCGGGCTGGATCTCCGTCTTCTCGAAGAACTGCTGGGCCCCGATGCCGTAAGGACGCGCCGCCTTCAAGTCGCGCTCGGCACGAGCGTATTTGGCAGCGGACACCATCTTCATCGATTGCGTAATTTTCTGAATGTTCTTCACGGACTTCAGGCGGATGGAAATAGCCTTCAGGGTGGCCATGCCACGCTGCTGCTGGGCCAGCACGGTGGCCTCCACGGCCAGGGGCAGCAAGAGCTGGGTGCGTTGCATCATCATCCTGTGAGCTGTCGAAGAATCGCTGCCTCGAAAATTAGCAAAAATTTCAACTCGGCAAAATGGTCGGAGAAAAATCACCTGCGTTAAGTTGGCTGCGCCACAACGAGTGTTATAACACAGGGCGGAGTTGCCACCTGGTTCACGTTGCAACAAAAACATTCGCGAGGGGTGGCATCTTTTTCGCATTAACGTAGGAAGAAGCCAGACTTTTGAAATATTTCTTTATCTAAATAACAATATAATATTTAAAGATTATTCCAAAAATACCTGTTTGTTTTAATAGTTTGTAATAATTAAAATTAATTAGTTAATTAAACTATCGGTTGCACTGCGGCGGTCAGCTGCTCACGCCAGCCGATAGGTTGACCATCGCTGAAACTCACGATAAAAAAGCTGACGTACTCGACTCGCGAAAAAGATACGAACAATATTTATTTATAATTTATTTGTTCGAGCGCTCACCCCCGCCGCTCCGCTCCACACACAACGACACCCGGACCACGGCTATCAGATCACATCCTTATTCCCGGTGGAGACGGCGATGAAATCGCTCAGCGGATAACTCTAGGCCACGGACGAGCGGACGACGCACGTGTGTGTGTATGTTTGTGTGCGATAGCTGGAAAATTGTTGCTGCGCGAATTGGAGAGATATAGACGTGTGCGTGTGTGTGTGAGAGTGCACTGCAGAAGGGGGGCATGACGGAGATAAGGATAAAGATAGACGGACAGTGCAAACGGCAAAAGTGAGAAGAAATCAACACACAAGAACAGCAGTCAGTGCCTTTCATCCGCTCCGCATCCGCATCCGCAATCCTCGACAGCAACAGTGTGTGTGTGCCTGCGCAGAGCGATTGTGTTTGTTGTGTTCGTTTGTTGTTGCTGCAGCTGAGTCGTGACACAACAGTAACAACTGGCCAAGCAATATCTAAGACACATGATGTGGTCGTTCTTCTCGCGCGACTCCTCGAAAGACTTCCCCTACGACATCGGCGAACCGGTGGGCGGCTTCGATGCCTACTCCATATGGACACTGCACAAGGCCAAGCGCAAGACCACGCTGGAGGAGGTGTCCGTCTTTGTCTACGACATTCGCAGCGGCTCTGATACCAAATGTGACTTGGCTAAGGCGTCGCTGAAGCGTCTGAAGACGTTGCGTCACCCCAGCATCCTGCAGTACTTGGACTCTTTGGAGACGGACAAGATGCTGTACGTGGCCACGGAGGCAGTGGATCCCTTGGGTAGTTACTTTACCAAACTGGCCACGGATAATGTACAAAAGGGCCTTTACCTTGCCTGGGGCATCTTCCAGATCACAGTATGTACTCCGCTGAGGAATGTATCCTGGATTAATTTAAATTAATCCCCCTTCCCTTACAGCGCGCCTTGTCCTTCCTCAACAACGATGGCAATCTGCGGCACAACAATGTCTCGGCCTGGTCAGTGTTCGTCAATGCCTCCGGTGAATGGAAGCTGGGCAGCTTGGAGTATGTCTCGGCGGCGGATGGCAATCCCATGCCTCCGGTGAAAATACCTGTGACCCTGGAGGTCTATGACTCGCCGGAGAAAAATGACCAGAGCAAGCTCAAGGCGGCCACCAAATGGTAGATCTTTAATCTTTCTATAACCTTTTTGATTCATTAAAAACAATCCAAATTTCTCTTGCAGTTCCGTTGACATGTGGGGCCTGGGTTGCCTAGTGTGGGAGGCCTTTAATGGAGTGCTCAAGCAACGATCCAACCTCAAGGACATCGAGCACATACCCAAGTCTCTGCAATCCCTGTATTGCGAACTGGTGGGAGCCTCGCCTTCGAACCGACCGAATCCAGCCGATATAATCACACGTTGCCGCAAGCCGGGAGGCTTTTTCAAAAACGATCTGGTGGACACACTGCTCTTTCTCGAGGAAATTCAAATTAAGGACAAGGCGGAGAAAAATCGCTTCTTCAGCGGACTGACCACACATCTGGACAACTTCCCGGACAATGTGTGCAAGCACAAGATACTTCCACAGCTGATAACAGCGTATGAGTACGGAGATGCGGGCTCAGCCGTGCTGGCACCCATGTTTAAGGTTGTAATTAGATTTTATACCCCTTATCTGGCATGTATTTAACGCGGAGAACTTGCACTCTCTTGCAGCTGGGCAAACTGCTCGACGAAGTGGAGTACCAGAAACGCATTGTGCCCTGTGTTGTCAAGCTGTTCGCTTCCACGGATCGTGTGACTAGATCGCGCCTGCTGCAGCAGCTGGACCTGTTTATTGCGCACTTGCAGCCACAGGTGGTCAACGATCAGATATTCCCCCAAGTGGCGCACGGTTTCCTGGATACCAATGCCACCATACGCGAGCAGACGGTCAAATCTATTATCCATCTGGCGCCCAAGCTCAACTACAACAATCTCAATGTGGAGGTGCTGCGTCACTTTGCGCGGCTGCAGGCGCGTGACGATCAAGGTGGCATCCGCACCAATACGACCGTGTGCCTGGGCAAGATAGCGCCGCATCTGCATCCGCAGGTTCGTCAGCGAGTGCTGGTCTCTGCCTTTGTTCGCGCCATGCGTGATCCCTTTCCGCCAGCCCGAGTGGCTGGCGTCCTGGCGCTGGCCGCCACCCAGCAGTACTTTTTACTCAGCGAAGTGGCCAATCGGGTGCTTCCTTCGCTGTGTTCCTTGAGCGTGGATCCAGAGAAGACGGTGCGGGATCCGGCGTTCAAAACTATACGCGGTTTTCTAGGCAAGCTGGAGAAGGTGTCGGAAGATCCTAGTTTGCGTGAGACCATGGGTGAGTGAGGAAAAACCTTAACAAGGATAATTAATAATAATAATAATTATTAATCGAACAACATTTCATTTACAGAGGCCGATGTCCACACGGCCACGCCATCAATTGGCAATGCGGCTGCCACCTGGGCGGGCTGGGCGGTGACGGCCGTTACAGCCAAGTTCTATCGCAGCCAAAGTGATTCGTCTCGACCCAGACCGCCTTTAACTGGCCGCAATCTGTCCAAGCCGGCATCGCTTGGTGAGTCTGCCTCTGGCTAATGCGATTTTCTATGCGAATAATTGGATTTTTAATGTTTCCCTTGTTCAGAGCAACCATCGAGCAGCAGCTTATCGACCACCACGAGCAGTGTTACCTCTATGACGTCGCTGGAGCATGAAAGCAATGACACCTCCGCTTCGGCCTCGGATTACGGCAATAACGATTGGGACAACGAAAACTGGGGCGAAATGGATGTAAGTTTTGATGAGTTTACCTAAATATTTCAAAGATTTAATTTATATCATTTCAGACCTCTCAAGATCCCAGCAGTCCACTGGCAGCTAGCTCTAACAATGGCACCTCGATGGCGGCCAATGCCTTGAATGAAGTGCGGGATGGTTGGGACAACGAGGAGTGGGGCAGTCTTGAAGAGGATCCGGTACGAAATAGACTACTTAAAATGATGAATTATTCGAATCAAAAGAGTTCTTAAATATAGTGCGAGGAGGAGGAGCAGGCGGAGCAGGAGCAGCAGCAGCAGCAACTGGCTAGACAATCGATATCATCCACCACGTCATCCAGTCACCATCACCAGCGTCCGCCGCTGCCGCAACAGCATCCGCATCAGCAGCTGCTGCAGCAGCATGAACTGAACGACCTGATCGAGCCCCTGGCCAAGCTCAACTCGCATGCCATGCTTAGGCCAAAGGAGTTGCCCAATCTCTCCAGTAGCAACACCTCGCCCACGTCCACGGCCACTGCCAATTGCAATAACATAAGCCCGCCTTCGTCGCATTTAAATAATTCGACGCATAATGCCAATTGGAATAGCGATTCGTGGGCCGATGGTGAATTTGAGCCGCTGGAGGAGTCGGGATTGGGTGAGTTTAGTCCCTATTTAATTCATGATCAATACTAATGGATAATATCATATATTTGTAGGAAATGCCAAACTGGATGAGGCGCGGCGTAAGCGCGAGGAGAAAAAGCTGCAGCGACAGCGGGAACTAGAGGCGCGCCGGGCCCAGCGGGCGACTGGCCCTATGAAGTTGGGCGCCAAAAAGCTTTAAAAGTAATCAGCCGATAACAGTGCCTAGTGTGTGCGCCTGTTATGCAGCCTGTTATTTGCATCTACGTATATCTAAGTCCCAAAAGTGTATTTGTATATTTCCGTGTGTGTCCCTAATCCACCATGTCCCCCGTTTTCCTCCTTTCCCCGTGTATTTTTTGGGTACCAGTTTGCATTAAATGCAATCACAGTGTCTCGAGCCTCCATTTCGATTCCATAACATAGCCATATATTGTAATGCTAATGCTGGCACGATATTATCTAGCAACTCTAACTAAATTTCCAATGTAAAGCACTGTAATTAAACCTGTAATTTATATTTATATAAAAAAAGAAAACGAAAAGGAATGAAGCAACCAACCAAGCAGTAGTTAGTAAATTACTTCAAATTTATACTTTTATTAATCAAGTCTAGTAGAAAATAACGATCTGTGGATCCTTGAGCATGAATGTGGGAGAGACCGGGATATAATCAATATCAATGATTGGCGAATAAAGTATTTTTCTCCCTCTCCTATCCTATCTATGAGTATGCCTGTGTGCTTCTGTGTTTTCTCCCACTTTTGTTTTCAAAGCTAAAGGAGTTGAAGTATTCCATAGGAGCGCCGGGAAATGCAAAAGGAAATATTTAACATAAATAAAATCTAAACGTATTTTTGCGAATAGGAGCGTAACCAAAATTGTGAATTTTAATATAAACAACAACAATATTTTTATATAGCTCATAATAATATAAAAATGGAAACGAATTATATAGAACCAAACCAATATATAGGAGAATCTGAAAAATCAAGAAACAACCGCAAGCAATTATAGAAAGGAAACAACTTTAAAGCTTTTTCAGCGATACATTTAATTATGTATGTAGTAGAGAAATGCACTTGTTATCTAGGATCGAAACTGATTATGTTTTCCCCTTATTATTTTTCCAGTTATTTTCCGTCATTTTTCGTTGAGCATTTTCCCCAAAAGAAATTTTAACCAAGTAAGAGAAACCAGCACCAAGCGCAAGCCATTTTTGCATGTCAAACTAGTAGCGTTAACTAAAATTTTTGAATGTCCTGTACATACATATAGATACCGATATACATACATATATATACCTAACATATATATGCCGATTTTTTCCAATACCTCAATATCAGTGTACAATTTTTCCATAATATATTTTTGAAATATGAAACGAAACTAAGTAATCCGAAAGAGGAAATTAAAAACAAAAAATAACAGAAATACGAAGAAAATGTTGACTTTTTGAAATCTCATTGTTGTCGTCGTCGCAGCGTGTACCACCACATACATACATGTGTATATTTGTAATTAATGCAACTCGATTCCAATCCAAGTCAGCCCAAGAACCCGCGCCTTCTTCCCCCTTTGAAACCCCCTGGCATTTAGATTGGCATTCATTTTACTTTATCGAAAAATTCTCTCAGCAAATTTAACATTAGCATAAATAAAATAGTAAAAAAAATAAGAAAACAAGAAAAGGAAATTAAAAAGCAAACCAAAATTAAAGCAACATGGAAAATTTATTGTTTAGACAAATTTTTAAGACTGCAAAGAATAAGAAAAAAACCAAAATTAATTGAGGGTGGTAATGGTAAATTACAAGAAAACTAAATTATTTAGTACTAATCATCAGTAAAATAAATTTTGAAATAATAACAAAAACAAGCAACGAGAATTGTAATGTCTTTGCGGGAAGTCCCCTCATGCAGGTAAGTCTTAACTTGAATTTTACAAATGGATATCAATGGCACATCTGGTTGGAAAGATATATATAGACGTGGATATAGTAGTTGGTTAAACGACTTTTGTTTGGGCAAATGTTTCTGATGGCCATTCGAAAAGTGCAGCAATCCAAGTCCAAGCCTTTGTTTATTAAGACTCCGCTGCTGTTTTTGCAGCTGTTTTTTATTGGCTCTTCCAGGATCGTTAAGAGAGGTAAATGCAGATATATAGCTAGCGAAAAACCCAAAAGAATTTTGCTAAGTACTATAAGTGGTGGATTTTATAAATATTATGGTTAAAAGGTTTCCTTTTAAACTATTATTATATATATTTAGTATTTACAAAAATATATTTATTTTTTATTATTATATTATATTATTTATTAACCAATATAATATCTATAAATTATTATTATTTTTTACAAATGGAATAGCCAAATTATTAAGAACTAATACAAAAAACAACTTTAATATATTGTTTATTAATTCCTCTTTAGATTTACTCTTTTTGAGCTAAAAAAGAATTCATTAAAAATAATACCAATTATAAACATTTCTCTTCCATTAATTAAATATTTTCTACTGCTGCTTAATTGACTGTTACCAAGTTCATAGCATACTTATTTGAGCCCAGCTAACACGATTCGCTTTGGCTCATTGCGACTCTCCGCCCACTCTGCCCGCTAATTGAAATGAGTCAATCCGCCACAATTAGTGCTCCTTGGCGGTAATCCCCCAATGTCACGTCACGTTTATGTTTCGCCAAGTGCCCCACAGAGAACTATTTTTAAGATTTTTAAGACCTGCGACCGCACAACTTTGCTTTTCTCACGCGCTCGTTTCGCTGTTAATTTGTTGCAACTTGCACCAGACATGAGCGTTGGTGAGAGGGTTTTGTAAAAATTAAAAGGAGGAAAACTGTGTACATTGAACGTTATATATTTATTTTTTTAGGAATTCCTTTATAACTCTTTAAAATTCTTTATTCTTTCCATCATGCTCCAGTTATGATCAGACCCCCTTATTTCCAATCAAAGCCCCGCCATTGGTGCCACCACTGGCTGCTGCCGCCCATCTGTCCGCCTCCAAATCGTTCCGCCCCAAGCTGCCCCAATCCGTTGACGAAGCTGCCCTTGCCGTGAGTAATTGCACCGCAAAACACTCAGTAAAGTCTCCGCCTTGGATAGCTCCGGATAGCAGGGCCTAAAATAGGCTACGCCAAGTGGACGCCATCAGATCGCCGAGTAGAGGAGATAAAATGCCCAACCAGAACCGCAGTAGTGGCGAAGGAGCTCTATTAATAGGCGCTGAAGTCAACGTGATGGAGCTGCACTTGGCATTACTCATACGCCCTGCCTTCCACCTCTCGCGTGTCTAATTGGACTGGAAAAACGAAAAAAACGAACAGAAAATAAGGCGGAGTGCGATTACCGGCGGTGCAATTAAATAGTTTGTCGTGATAGAGTGAGCAAATATTGAGATCATTATGGTAATTCAGCCGCCGTCTGCCCTGCAACCATCCAGCATCTTTGGCACTCATTAAACTCGAGGCATGTTTGCTTATGGCATTAGTGGTTGGTTGTTCCTATAATTTGCAGCGTGCGATGCTCGGATTTGTCACCGATATTGGATCTGACGATTCGGCACGCAGGTGTGCGGCAGCAACACAGAAAAATATTTAACTCTATGCGAAATTCACATAATTTTCTCGCTTGAAGCGGTCGCCAACTGCATTAAATGCTGTTAATATTTGCCATTGTAGTTTATATTTCTGTTTTTGTTTCGGTTGTGATGCCCTGTAATAGTAAAGATTAGGGGTATGTTGGGCCGAAGATGCATATGAAGTAGATCAAATTTTTAAGATACTTTTAGTATAGTAAGTAAGTAAGTAAGATATTCGGGAATAAAAATAAATCTTCCAAGTACAATTAAATTATTATTTTAGTGCCATAATATTGTTTTATGATTTATCTTTAGATGTAATAAATATAGGATCATCTCCAAGCGAAATAATATACAATAAGGATTTGAGATACTTTTAATTCCCTCTTTGTAAGTACCATAATATTGTTCAAAAATATACACTTACATGGAATAAATATCCAGGATCTTCTTCAAGTCGAAACTATATAAAATTTCATAGCTATTTCTTACCAACTTCGCGCATTCAATTCAATCAAAGCGCAACGCTCTGGCTCTGGCTTTGCTCGGCTCGCCTTTGGCTTTGTTTTCGGCACCTTTTGTTGTTGCAAAAATTGTTTAAAATTTCAAATTAGCTGCAGTTTGTGGTTAATGTTTCCACGTTTGTTTTGCTATACATTTCTAGGAGCGGTCTCCTTAGCATTTTACACTGGCCCTGCATTCTAGAACAATTCCCCAGCAGCAGCCGCCACCTACTGCTGCGACGGCTGATGCCATTTGTTAAATAAATAATAAATCGTTGAGCTCTTTACAAGCTGTCAGATCTGATGACCGAAGGGGGGAATCCATGACCTTGGGATCCCATGATTTTATTATCTCATCAAGAAACGGGGGAAGAACGCAAAATTGCACCTAGCTACGTCAATTGTCTCTTATCACAAGATCTGGCAGATAAAACAGCCAAGGTTTTGCTAATATTTAGTTTTCTAATAAAACTAATCCAAGGGTGCAAAGTTTAGACCCCAAGGTCTCTTTTGTTTTTAAAATTTAATCCAGAGGATTATTTAAATTGGACCTAACACCCTTTATCAAGATCTGGTGACGTTAAGAAAGTCCCTGACAAGAATAAATATTTAGTCTATTCTTATTAACAGTTGTAAAATAGTTGTAACAACAATTAAACATTTACAGTTTTCCCTCAATTAAAATGTTAATAATAATGGTAAATGGACCTAATATTTTTTAAACATCATCAGGCTACCCATGAAGGTTTTCCCTTGGTCGTGACTACAGTTCCAATTATTATTTTGCTTCTCAGAAAGTACTCTAGCTCAGAGGAAGCAGTACCGCTTAAAAATACTTAAGCTTTAAGGCAGAATTTTATATTCTTCAAGACCCACTTACATTTTCCTCTGTAAAATTTCAAACTAAACTTAATCTCAAGACCCTCTTCCTCGACTGAAGTATCACTGAGGAGGGGTGTGTGAAAACCCCGAGTGCGTCATAGGGGTTTTCCCGGCATTAGCCCCGAATAAGGTCAGGCTTGGGCATACATACATATGTACACGTTTGCTTTTTTTTCTTGCCCAAGTTTCCGTTTTGTACAAATACGCGCAAAAACGGGTAAATAATAATTATTATGATGAACAAATATTGGCGGTGTAAGTGGCCGTGCCCCCAAGGCAAACAAGGAGGGAGAGGAGGGTCGGCTTCCATAGAAAAGGAAACCGCAAGCACGACAGCGATAAGACTCAAAATCGAACCCGGGTCTGTCTTTGTATCTATATCTATAGATACACTCTAAAATAATTTAAGAAAAGTAGAGCTAAATATTTTTAAAGATGAGTTTTTTCATATCATATTAATCGTATGAACTATCCTTTCAAAGATTACATTGGTATTAGACATATACGCCGCCGCGCCACGCCGCCGCCGCCGCCGATTTTTGCCTTATTTGACGCGCCGCCGCCAAATTATGAAAATAACGGCGCGCCGCGGCGCGCCGCTGGTGCGGCATCGGCGCAGCTTCAGCGCGGCCTTCAGTGTCATTGTTCTTTATAAAACTTAAAAAAAAATAAATAACTCATTAAAATGGCCTTTTTGCCTTATTTGACGCGCCGCCGCCGCCGGTTCTTTCTGACTACTACGCCGCCGCCGCCGAGTCATTTTGACCTCTACGCCGCCGCCGATGCCTTTAACCATCGGCGTAAACCTCTAATTGGTATGCGTTTTTATATATTTATTATTTAAAATTTTTCTCTCTGTATATACATATCTCCTGATGTGTCCGATCTGTTTTGAGTCTGGTGTATGGCCAGCGGTTTGTGGGTGCGTGCTCCGCCTGATAATACTGGGAGACCACGGAGCGACCACCGCAGACAAGACGATACCGCCGGCTGATGATTCATCCTGGCAATATGGCGGCGACTCGTGGCCGCTAGAAACCCCAAGTGTTCCACGAGCTCGGCACGAGCTCCACGGAGCCCAGAGATGCCGAGTTGGCCTCTATTTTTGACTTAGATATTTAAAATGACACAAAAATGTAGAATATCTGGGAATATGTTTTAGGCATTAAAGCGATAATCTGACTTAAAAGCTTAAATATTAGTAACTAAACTTGTATTGTAATCGCTCTTAAATGTGCTTCGGAGGTTTAGATATAAACTTAGGGAGGCATGCGTCATTACGAAACATTTAATTATATTCTGGCCACTCATAATACTAAATATAGTATTGAAAAGATAATATTCCATTAGAAAATGCGTCAATATTTTTGTTTTAAGACAATGTGTACTTATCTTAAAACATAAATATAGGAAATTTCTCAGGCCACAAAGCTTATTAACTACTACTTATTTCTTTTTATGGTTTATTACCAATTTAATTTCATGCAGAAAACATTTTTAATCCACATGACAGATATTTATGAATAATGTTATAATTAAAGTAGAGCTAATGTTATTCTTACACAAATATTCCCACAAGAAATAAAAATAAAAACCTTATGTGCCCACAAATGAGAACTTTAAAAATTACATAGCTTTTTTTACTTTTCATAATTTTGTAATTTGTTTTTTAGTTCAGAAACTAATAATTTCAGCATGAAATTATAGCAACACTGCCACGGACATCGCTCGCGCGGTAAACAAATAGGTAAATAAACTTGCAACTGGCGGCTGCATGCAACACAGCAACAGTTTGTTGTCGATGAATGAAAACGTGCTGTTCCGAGGGAGCTGACAATTTGGAGCGCCTTCAA